TTCCAGCATTGCTTAAAAAACATTGTCTTTTCTAAATAATTATGTGAACATCATTTTATCATTATTAAGAGACAGTTTTGTGATTATCCAAAGAACAGGCTCATAATATGATTGCTGATTACAAGAGTTTCATTACCTTGTAATATCTTTGTTACTCAGAATATTAAAAATGTAGACCTTTTGTGTTATATAGATATTTAACCTAATGGCAGAATCATTACAATAGTCATTAAATTCATTGCATTTACTATAAATAATTACCATAAAATGGTAACCATGTTAAATAGTTAACAAAGACCTATAGTTTTCTCTCCAAACAATAGTTCCCTAAGACAACGTGGCTCCTTTTTAACAACATTTTGCTATTTCTCTATTGAGCACTTTTATTGAGGACTCAGGTTTCTGAATTGCAGAATTTGACTTACCAGAACAATATACTGACTACCTTGCCTTCCTTAGCAATTTCAAACCATATCCTCCTAAACAGTATTATTTTTTCTCATGATAGGTGCAAGCAGCAAGATTCTAGGCAAGATTCTTATTTACTGATAGTGCCAGGGATCATTATTCAGTCTTGGCTGTGCTGTCATGAAAATAACATATTATTCACACTCATTTTAATTGTGTGATTATTTTTTAGTATCCAGCTCCACCATTCCACTATCAACAATAAGTATATTTTGAATAAAAAAAACCCTACACAAATATATACATTTAATTATCTTATAGAGGCTTAATGAATTATATAACATTAAAAATATTTTCTGCTATTGCTACATATTTCAACTACTGTTATTTAATCATATCCATGTATTTTCATAGAGGGGTGGTTTATAGGAGTTGATAGATTAGACTGAATGCTTAATAAGTATGTAAATAGTAATAATAATTTATACATTAATGTAGAATTTAGACCTTAAACAGATCTTGCAGTTGAACTAGTTTTTACTAGTAAATACACTGGCATGTCATGTGCTTCAGCTTTTATTTATGTTATTCTTTGTATCTATTTCCTATCTCTCATCTCCTAAAGTCCAAATCCATTCATCCTGCAGACTAATTCAATTACTACCATCTTCATAAATCCCCTTGATTCCCAAAGCTGGAGATTGTATCCTCAATTCACTTAATAGCTTTTGCAGGCCTCTCTATGACATCTATCCCTTCTATCTTGCATAATATAATATGCTATATATAATATAATTATATTCTATTATATATAATTTCTCCCCTGATGAGCCATATCTTCTCCCTGCCACCCTGAGTACACAAAACAATGTTTACTACAGAGTGAAGATTAATGGAAAATACATAGACTTCATAATTAGTTTGACTTGGGTTTGATTATAAACTCAGCCACTTAGGTGTTAAGTTCTCCATGTTTAAGTTTATTCACATAAACATGGAATAAAGATGAAGCTTTCTTGTTTTATGTAAAATGTAGTCTAGCCTTCAGAACAATTTTAAAGGATAACTGTTTACTGGGTCATCTCCTCTTGTATTCTGCCTTGTCATTTAAAATGGAAATGCAAGTTAATTAAAACTGAAGAACATAGTGATATCTTGCCTTACAGTTTGTAATGTGCAACTGTTTCACAAATATTAATTTGATTGTATCTAGTATTACATAAAATATAATTCACTGTGTTAATATAAAATTATTATATGACTAGAGGCCCAGTGCACCAAATTCATGCACTCGGGTGGGGGGGGTCCCTCAGCCCGGATTGTGAGAGGGTGCAGGCCAGGCCAAGGGACCCCCCTGGTGCATGATCAAGGCTGGGGAGGGATGCGGGAGGTTAACCAGCCGGGGAGGGACTGTGGGAGAGTTCCAGGACGTGTCCAGTCTTTCTCACTCAGTCCCGATTGGCGGGAACCCAGCAGCAAGCTAACTTTACCAGTTGGAGCATCTGCCCCCAGTAGTCAGTGCACATCATAGCAACTGGTCGGCCAGGAGACTGCCTGCCCGCTGGTAGTCAGTGCACATCATGGCAAGCGGTTGAGCAGCCTTAGCATATTATTAGCATATTATGCTTTGACTGGTTGAATGGACGACTGGACAACCAGACACTTAGCATATTAGGCTTTTATTATATAGGAGAAGTAAATTACTATCCTTATTTCTATGGATTTTCAGAGATATAAGTAATTTCTCAATAATAGACTGTTGATAGATGGCAGAAGCATAATTTAAAAAATACATTTAAAGTACAAATTCTCCTTCCTGCCTTTTAGAATATATATATATATGCTACATATGTATATTTGGAAAGCAATATGTAATGCATATACATATAGCATATTTTATATCCAATTTAACTTTGATTCTTTGGTGATTTTCAAATACCAACCGGTTAATTATTTTTTTTTCTATTATTCTTGCACCCAACTGCTAAACATTTTTGTTTTTTTGTTTTGTTTTGTTTTTTGTTTGTTTGTTTCTTTTGTCTGCTACTTCTTTCTCTTTGAATTATTTTTTAAAACATAACTGGGAAGATATTTTTTATTAACAGAGCATCCTCATAACACTGCTTTATAAAGCACAAAGGGTCAATTTAAATAAGTCTAAACAATTTTAAAATTATAAAAATTTCCAAAGAAATAACATAAATATAAGTTTCCTTTCTTATGCAAATTCTTTTTATTTAAATATATAATAAAGATGTGGTACATATATACAATGGAATGCTACTCAGTCATAAAAGATGAAATACTGCCATTTGTGACAAATGGATGGACCTTGAGAATATTATACTAAGCAAAATAACCTGTCAGAGAGAAAAAGTTAAGAACTATTTGATTTCACTCATATGTGGGACATAAACTGTAATCAACCAATGAGCAAACAAGAAGAACAGAATTTCATAGACACAGACAACAATATGGTGGTTGCCAAAGGGAAGAGGGAACAGACCCCTCAATGGTCCCAGATCTGTCACTTGCTTCAACAGTGTTTGGATGGAACAGACCCAGGGACACGCCTTTTCCCAGCTTCCAACCACCCTCTAGCATCTTCTCCAGTCACCACCTTTGGAACCACCTCAGCCATTTAGCCTCAGAGACCAGCCCAACTGTTTTTTTTGTTTGTTTGGTTTTGTTTTTTTACCTTAACTTCTTATTGCTGAATAACCATGAGCTCCCAACTTCCTCAGAATTATTCCACAGAGGTAGATACTGCCATCAACCACCTGGCCAACCCACATCTGTAGGCCTCCCACAACTACCTCTCTCTGGGCTTCTATTTCAACCATGAGGATGTGGTTCCATAGGATGTGGGCCACTTCTTCCTCAAGCTGGAGGAGAAGCAGCTCCAGGGCACTGAGCATCTCTTAAAGATGCAAAACCAGTGTGGTGGCCACATTCTCTTCCTGCTGAATCCAACCCAAAGATGATTGGGGCAAAAATCAAGATGCCATGGAAGTCACTAGGCCCTTTTGGAGCTGGAGGCCTTGGGTTCTACCCACAGAGACCCTAATCTCTGTGACTTTTTGAAGAACCGCTTCCTGGATTAGGAGGTAAAACTCATCAGGAAGATGGGCGACCACCTGAATAACATCTTCAGACTGGCTGGCACCCAGGCTGGGCTGGGCGAGTATCTCTTCAAAAGGTTCACCCTCATGCACGAATAGGAGCCTTTGGAGCCCAGAGGCCTATGATGGGCCCCTCAGCATCCCCCTGGTGTCTGGCTTTTGCCTGAGCCTTTCCCTGCAATCACTAGCCATCCTTTTAAGTACTCTGGAGCCCTCTCACATGCATTGGACCAAATGGAAATAATAAAGCTTTATGTAACAAAAACCAACAACAACAAAAATCAAAACAAAGAAAGGGGTAGTGAAGGGTAAAAGAGCTCAAATATATGGTGATGAAAGATGATTTGACTTTGCGTGGTGGGCACACAATGCAGTACTCAGATCATGTATCATACAAATATGCACTTGAAATCTGTATAATCTTATGAACCAACTAGAGGCCTGGTGCATGAAATTCATGCATGGGGGCAGGGTGTCCCTCATTCCGGCCTGCACCCTCTCGCAGTCCGGGACCCCTCAAATATCAAGTCCTATCAGGGTTTCCTTCCCCTGGCTGCTGGCAGCTGTCCCCACCCCGCCGCTGCCACTGCTTGCCATCTGTGTGGCACTGGCCTCCCCTCTCCCACCACTGGTTACCTCCCTCTGTGGGCAACAAGTGTGGGGTGCGATTGCTTGGCTGACCTGAACCTCCCTCTGAGGGGTGATCACTGGCTAGCCCAGCACACCTGCCACAGCATCACTGGCCAGCAGCCTGAGCCTCCTTCTGAGGGGCAATGATGGGGCAATGGCGGGGCCCCCCTGACCAATTACATCACACCCGCCTTGGCTGGCCTGGCACCACTGTATGTCATAGTGTAGTTGTCCGGAAGGTCGAAAAGAGACGGTCTTTCTGCTGTTCAGTCGTTCAGTTGATTTGCATATTATGCCAGGAGGTCATGGTTCAATTCCCAGTCAGGGCATATGCCTGGGTTGCGGGCTCAATCCCCAGTGGGGGACATGCAGGAAGCAGCCAATCAATGATTCTCTCTCATCATTGATGTTTCTATCTCTCTCTCCTTCTCCTTTACTCTCTCTGAAATCAATAAAAATACATATTTTTTTAAAAAATGTGAAAAGTTCTATTCATCTATCTTGTTTTCCCAATAAAGTAAAAATAAAGTCAGTGTGTAAATAATCAAACTGTTTTTGTTCAACTGGTCAAGTAGTCCTACTCTGAAATAGCCTTGAAAGCTGCATTGTGGAATTAATGTCTTAAACTGGAATCAGGGTTATTGAATATTTCCAGCTCTTCATTTTAGAACTACTAAGTCCCTTAGCTTTTACATATACTTCAATACAGCCAAACACGTAAATATTCAATAATATGACTTTTCTTAAGACACAACTTGTATTCTAAGACCAAGCAAACATACACTTTTGTGTAAATAAACAAAAAACAAAGAGGGATTAAGGAATGAATCTTATACTCACGGAATAGTCTATAAAATTCTTCAAGAGCCAGGTGCTTGTCAGAGTTAAAATCATCGTATTTCAGTAGATCATACAAAGTACAATCTGAATGATCCTTGACAAGTTCTTCCTGTTTTATCACCTGACAAGACAATTATAACCATAAAATTCTATCTGTGTCTTAACATTTCTACAGTATTATTAATTGTACGTAATAATCAATTAATAGATCATTTTAAGTGTGCAGTTCCGCAAAGAACTGAATCTTAAAAAAAATCTGACAATTATCTTTAACTATCTCAAAGATATAAAGTGATAAAGTTAAGATAGATACTTGGAATTTAGTCTGAACTTTCCAATATAAAAATCTCACAGTAGGACACAGAAAATCTGAACATTAAAAGGATATTTTGTATTTTGTTCTTTTACTTTGTCCCATTTATACTGATTCAAGAAAATACCTCCACATGAAAATTGCCTCCTCTGTCTCAGTGACCTGTGTCAAAATAAAACAGGGATCTTTTCCAACAGAACAAGTGAAATCCTTTGTTCCAACTTCTGTCCTTGTATTATTTGTGAAATATGAAGTCAGACTTTTTTTTTCTCCTCTGCCTAAACTTCTCCCTGCTGGAAGTGCAGCCGTTTGGGATTGTGCATTAACTCCCTTGGTCACAAAGGAGCTATTAAGCAAATGACTGTTTCCAGGAGCCAGATAGAATTAATGCACCGACTGATGATGAAAATCTATCCAAGCGTGGGTGGGTGCGGAAAATCATACAACTGCTTTTCTACTCTGTGCTCTGTCCTAGGGACTGAGGCTGAGGCTTTTTATACTCCACTGGTGTTGACTATTGCCTGTCATATAAAGGAGCGCCCCAAGATTTTTCTAACATTCCTATTCATTCTGGGGAGCTGCATAGCTGCTCCATGAGCTTTCGTATTCCACAGACAGAGGCCATAGTTCAGACTGCTTGGAGCAGTGCATCACAGTGCACGTTTTTTAAAGGTTATACAGTGTAATCAGGAAAAATACAGGCTATGAAGTCAGCTAGCTCTGGGTTTAGGTCCTGCCAATGCCACTTAGCAGCTCCATTGTTTCTGGCAAATTACTTAACCATCCCTCAATTAGACATTGAAGATAGTATCATCTGTATCTCATGGTTGTAAGAAACATTACACACAAGCATACATACACACATACTAGTACATATGTGCATGCATATAGTCAGAGGCAAGACTTAACATACAGTATTCACTGGAAAAATAGTCATTTAAAGTTAAAAATACATATTGTGCTCCTTCTTCAAATAATTCACTGCAGATTTCCACATCAGCTTGAGCATTTTATGGTTATGCATTCACAATGTACTATTTTCTTTGGGAGAGCAGTATGTTTTTGATTTTCTTTGTATATCAATGGTAGATTTGTGATTCTAATTTCTAAAGATTCTCAGGTACCTTTAAACTATTTTTCACCCATTTTAGAACACTTCTATCTGAAAAGTTCATTTACGCATTTTACACGTGAGTGTGGATGAGCTGTAGAAGCAGCTCTGAGGATGGAGTTTAGATGTGAGTGACTAGAACATCCAGTCCTATCTTTAGCCACCTGAGGGATAATATGAGATGGCAACATATTCACTGTCAAATATAACTTTGACAACATAATGCATTCTCTATCCTTATACATTGTATTCAAATTTCATTGGTTAAGCTCATATTTCCTGCCTTTGAGGGGGGAGGGGTGAGAGGCAAAACATTTGTTTGCTTTAATAGATCCATATAAACAGATATTGTTGATAGCATGTATTAAACTCTACACTTGAGTACAATCCAGCTGGAGGATTAACAAAACTACCTAATAGCTTTAGCCATCTCTCCTACGAGCCCAATGAGAAAGCAAATACTGCTTTTCTACTTAGAAAGCAACAGAGCTCTCAGTCATTCTCCATCTGTTATTTGTTAGATCATGGAAAAGGACTTTTCTTGGGTAGGAGGGGAATCAGTGTCTTTGACCTTACCTCACTAGGTTCTTCCTAAAGTTCTGTAATGTTATTGTGGACATTTTAGGATGCAGTTACACCAGGGTTTAGTCAGGTGTTTTAATAATATTTCCAGTGGCTTTTATTCTCATACTATACGTAATGAGATGAAAATGGAAGAGAAAGGTGAGGGGAAATCTTCCATCATTTTCTACCTCATTTCTGTTTTAATATTTTATCCCAATTAAATCACATATTAGACCAAGAGAACAAACGTTTACCTTTTTCTTGGATGCTGGCTCTGACATAAGACTAGCTTGATCTTGATTTGATCATGGCTATAGAACTTGAGCTGGGCATTCTATTTAATGAGTGTGCAACCAAGGGGTCCAGGCTGCCTATCCCTACTTGAGCCAATTAAGCAGAGACAGGGTTGAATCATAAATGGGCCTTTATTTCAATACTGCCAGCAGGATGGGAGAGTGGCAGGTCATCCACAAAGTCTACTCTACCCCTTCCCATAAGCCAGCTGCTTATATTGGGTAAAAGGACAAAGATGATGTGGGAAAGTTAAAATCACAGGCATGAGGAAGTAGGCACAGTAGAATCTTCACAAGCTACTGGCAATGTGGGTTGTGGGGTGGGGAAGCTGCAAAGGGCAGGCACCTCCAGGACTAGATTGTTTCAGCCAAGAGGTTGTAAATCTTTCCATGATGATAGGCAGTTCTCTGGAAAGGAGGATGGACTGCATTACGATGATAGCTCCCATGTCCCAGCGCATACAACTCTCAACCAGGTTAGAATGTGCTTTCTCTGATCAGAACACAATAATCATGGTTAACAGAGAATGACTAATATTCCTTAAAATTATAGCTAGTCCCCAATTGTCTATTTCTGTCCTAACAAGAGGGCCCTAGAAAAGCTCATGACCTAGCTAGTGACCTTTCTAAAAACCTTGTTCATCTCTACGGGGCCATGCCCATGCACAGAGAGCAGTGATTCATTCCCTCACTCATCAATATTTTAAATATGTGCTTTCATCATTTATTCCATTTTTGCTCAATGAAATAACCTACTTAAAACATACTTCTTCATAATTTTTTTTCTTTTGTATGTTTCCTGATGGGACGTTGGTATAGCCTGGGGAGTTTCACATGAGGGAGCTACTTTCCTATGAGTTTTCAACAGCATGAAATAATTGCTTTAGATATCCAGAATTTTGATAGCCTTGAAGTGATGGGTATTTGACTATTGGGAAGAAAGCATGATAGAAAACCTAAGCAGATTTCTTTTGCTGGCACATAGCAATATATTAAACATTTTTGACACAGGGGATCCAAACTGGTAGGACTTTGATAATCCCCTGAACTTCTTTCATTTTCTGTTTGGCATATGCTTCAATAACTTCCCAATCTGGGCTCCTCAAATGCACGTGTTACTTACTTTTGAACTAATAACTCATGATAGGACAGGAGTCATTGACTATTTTGTCATTTAGGTGTCTGTGATGATGCCTAGTAGGCCACTCATGATTTTATGTTTTCTACTGTAGAATAGTGAAGATGTTTCCTAAACTTGCCGGTGTTTTGATGAGTTCTTTAAGACTGCAAAAATGAAAATATTTTATACTCCTACCCGCCCCCCACCCCAACTAAAGATCAAGAAGCATGAATCTTGGGCTCCAAATAGGTTAAAGTCTGTGACAAGACAGAAATATCAGCAGAATGTATGTCACCAAGGGAGCTCAGACACACAACATTCAAGCTATTTCCCTTAGTATTTATTTTCATTCATTTATTCCATTATCCATTCAATAGATTATTTTTGACTATCTACCACATGTCAGACACTGTCCTAGGTCCAGAAAACAGCCAACAGAAAGACATACAAAAACCCCTCCCATGTGAAATTTACATTCCAGTTAAGGGGAATCAAAGAAACATACATGTTTAACATAGAGTATGTCAGATGATGATAAGGTATCTAAAAATAAAGCTGGAAAGAAAAATAGAAAGTGTCAGAGGAGGGTATACAAAATTGTCTCCCTGCTGTAGAGAAATGTATGCATTAGATTTTTGGAGATATGGCATGATTTGGAAATCCAAGATTATGATACTGATAGTCCTAAGAGATATAATAGCTCTGGCCAGTGTGAGTCAGTTGGTTGGGTGCTACCCTATGCACTAAAAGGTTGCTGATTTGATACTAAGTCAGGGGTGCATATATTCTTTCTGATTGGTGTTTTGGGATTCTTAGGATATACTCCTAGAAGTGGGAACACTGAGTCAAATGGCAGATCCATTTTTATTTTTTTGAGGAAACTCCATATTGTTTCCATAGTGGCTACACTAGTTAGCCTTCCCACCAGCAGTGTACTAGGGTTCCTTTATCCTCTTATTCTCGCCAGCACTTATTTGATCTCACTTATATGTGGAATGTAATGACCAAAATAAACTGATGAACAAAATGCATCCAGAGACATGGAAGCATGAAACTGACTGGCAAATCCCAGAGGGAAGTGGGAGAAGGGTTGGGAAGAGATTAATCAAAGAACTTATATGCATATATACATAACCCATGGACACAGACTATAGTGCATTAGGCCTGGAGGGGATCAATGGGGAAGAAAAAGACCCTCTTTAATAATTTCAACAATAAAGATAAATAAAAAAATAGAAATAGCTACCTGGTTTCATCTTTTAGAAAAAAAGAAAAGAATGACAGTCTCTGCCTCCATGAAGCTAATATTCTAAAGAGGATTAGTGGGAACATGTAATCAAAAAAATAAATAAACAAGATAATTAATTTTCAACAGTGCTCCCAAAATAAAAAAGGTGAAAGAATGAATAAATAATTAGTATTTTAATTATAATTATTTAATCATATGTAACTGATGCTACCCTACAATAGACATATTAAAAGAAAAGAACTAAATTAAAATAATTAATTTTTAAGTTATCTGTTAGGTTTTCTAACATGCCTAACATATTAGAAAACATTAAAAAATAATATAGGGCCAATATTAATTCATTTGAAAGACCAGCTAAAGAGATAAGATTAAACTGTGCTGAGAAGAAAAGTATTTTATTTTTAAGGTCTTCTATACAGCTCACAGATGTTCTCTAAACATGCATGCCAAAAATTTAAATCCTCCTTGACA